GTCAGAAATGTTTCATTCGATTCTCTATGTTCGCCATTTGGAAAGAAATGGGACTTCAACCGGTCTGTTTGACCGAATGCGTTTACTATTTGAATCGAGAGTTTTGTTCATCATAGAAACTGGACGCCCAAGCGGATGATCGAACGATTGAATTGAAATAAAGTTCGCATCACTTGCTGCCGGTTATCGACTTTAACCGAGCGCTTTGTTGGCAAAAGTCCACGAGAAATCCCCGCAGAATGCATCGAAAGAAAATCGATACAACAACGGGGATCACGAATTCGTTTTAGTTCGTAGGTACCCCTCAACAGTCGTCCAGGCAGCTTTGCGGTTTATTCGACTCGTAAATTCCGTTCTGTGCGACTGATTTTTGACTTCATACATATTCAGATGGCTCGCTCAATTCAACGTTTTCCACTTTGCTCTGCCCTCTATTGCGGCGGACTTGCGCAACTGTTACGTAAATTATAGTGAACGCGTGGATCTTTATCTCGTGGCTTATCCGTGTGGATGGAAATCATTTTCTACGCTTTCTGTAAACGATCGTTGCGAATAATCGAAGGGTCGTGTGAAAATTCCGGAGAAATTATCAAAATTTCTTATAAACGAAAGTAATAACATTTCTGAGGTACATGGTTCATTAAGTTATTTTAAAATAACACACACCTCGTACACACCTTTTTCAATTTATTTTTTTCATCATCGACCGTATACCCACATGTGTATTCATTTGTAATCTCTTGATTACACCACTCCTTAATTAAAGGTCATACTCATTCTCAATGGACTGCACTTTGGTGCATTTCATATCTTACACAAAGGTAGTTCGTTTGAAGCTTCATTAAAAGGTTATAATAAAAATGTGGTACGAAGTAGTTGAAACTTCTACCAGTGCCATTAGTAAATTGTTGAGTCTCATTTCGAAGCGCCATTTAATTTTTTCAAATGCAGAGTACAGAAATATTTTGTAATATTTGCGATTCGAGGAGTGCAGGTTATTAATGTTGAACATGTTTTGTTATTTGAACGCTGTTAGAGGATAGGTTTTTTTTTCGTTTATTCATCAGCAAAGAGATGAAGCAGCCGGCTTTCGGGGATTACGCAAATGCACGATTACGAATCCTGTAAATCCTTGCGCCATTTGCCGTTGACGCACGAACTGAAAATCTCCGAGCAGCTGAATGGTAATTATTTTCCACGAACGAATAAATAAAGTGAATAAAAAGTGAATAAACAAATGTATAAAAGCGCAAAGTTTGAAGGATCGTAAAAAACAGGTGATTAGTTAGAAAAATATTCTTTCAACTATCTTTCAAAATATCTGAAAATATCGAAACTCCAATCAATGAAACTTTCGAAGCTTTCGAAACTGTTAAAATTATTGGACATTTCGTGACGTCACGGTGAAAAGCTCGGCGCGTTGCTTTTATTCTCTGTTCGTCGCCGAGTAACTCATTGTGAGAAGCAAGTCGCCGGAAGGAAAAGCGATTTCAGCGTCATCGTCAGAGAGTTGAGATGCAAACGGGAATGGAAGGATAGTGGAAGCGTAGGGAAATTCGTGCGAAGGGCGATACGTTTTCCAAGGAAAGGGAAGTCTACGACTCGGGAACCGTCTATTGTTGGGAGGGAAGTACTTACGCGGGCGAGAAACCTCTGTCCCCAAGTAAAATCGATTTTATTCGTGAACGAAAAAGGAAACTGTTAGACTAAAGTGAAATAAAAGAAAGCAGGAAAAGATGTGGGAAGTAAACAGGAAAATTGAAACAAAAATACTTTCAACAAGCTTTTATTCGGTAATCGAGTAATTATGAATGAAACATTCTATCATAAATTAAGAGATTAATTGATTTGTTTTTTTTTGACAATATTTTTCAAACCAAAAGCTTGTAAAGCAAAAACAATATCTTAGCGAGTTGTGACGAATAGTCGCAGTGTCTTCTTCAGGAAAGAAGAAAAGAAGGAAGAAAGTAGGGAGGGTGGAGGTGAACGATCCGTGTTTTCATAAAAATTTCATGCACCCACGCCCCACGGGATAGGATTCGCGAGGAGCTTAACGTACAAAAGCAAAGGAGATTCATTAAAATTCAGTCCACACCTCCGAACGACTCCAGTGTCGGAACTGGCCCTGCTGAACTCCTCTTTCCTTCATCCAGTTCCTTTCTTTCGCCTGGCAACGAGCTCTGCTAAGTTGTTCGAACCGTAACTAGCTCCCTGGGTGCATCTACGTAAGTGCAACCACCTATCTGGCCGCAAATATTCAGGTGTTGATGTTGCTAATTTCTGGGAAAGGAGGAAAATCAATGGAGAATGTGCGTTAGCTGTTAGGAATTTCGAATTAACGCTTTCCACTGATTTTCTTGAATAACTATTTCGTTTAATAATTCTTTGGTCATTCTATAAGTAAACCTTGTCTTTTTACTGAGTTCTAACAAGAGAATAAGTGGGAGGATATTGGAAATTTGAAATTCTTCCAGCGTTTATTAGAAATTTCGAGGATGCGAAACAATGTGGCCTCAGTTTCAACGAAGAACACCGGAAATGCCTATAGAAAATCGATAAATTATGCGAAAGGTCACGCGGAAAATTGGCTGATAATTGGCTCATTTGTTACGCGTGGATTAAAGTCATGCCTCGTTCGAATCTAATTCATTGTCTGGATTTTGATGACAGCTGTGATTTCGTTGCTGTAATAATGATGAGCCGCATAATTATTTGTGATTAAACTAGACATCTAACGTTACTTGATTGGGGAAATTGTTTCAAACATTAAATTTTAATAAATGTGTCAAAGGTGTTGAAAGATTTTTATATTATTATTTTTGGCTGTTCATCAAGTGTCTATCCACAGGGGTTCTGAAAGGAACTTTAAGGCACTCACAATGAAATGATTGATCACGATACCTCGTAGACATTTCAGCAATCTTTTTGAACAGACAGGTTTAGATTACCCCTCTGTGTAATATGTAAAACGTCAATCATCTTGGATCGTGACAGTGTTTAGCAATTTTGCTTTTAAAACACTTCTACATTTATTAGTTCAAAGAGGTACACATGATTTCAATTATAATATTTTCATCATTTATTTTTTAACATCTCTGAGAGGTCTTGAAAAGGAAAAATAATTATCTTGATTTTTTCTTTTTAATCAGTTTTCGGTAATTATAAACCAAATTTTTAGTTTGTGTTTTACGATAGATTTGCGATGTCGGATTCACTAATTTTCAAATTTACGATAACGACGCGTTGGAACTCTCGGTACGTGATCGCCGGACGAACGTATATCATTGATCGTTCGATGCTTGCCTATGCATTGAAAATTTACGAGTGTGTTTCGGTGAACGAGATACGCCATTCACTGCACACCACTCGAAAAGGGAAAGAATCAGAAGAGAGAATGATAAATTATGCAGAAAGGGAATTGGCTGTCGAGGCGAGGAAATTGGTCGAAGACGAGTGTCTTGGAGTACTTACAATTGAATACTTGATTGTGCGCCAATGAGTTTCCTTTGATGCATAACTTGAAATTTTCATCCCTTAATATTTAAAAAAGAAATAATTTAGAGATTTCTAAAGTCAAATTTTTCCATTATTTTTTAGAATTTAACAAATCTATTCTATTTATTGAATTGCAAACAAAAATATCGTGGAATTATTCGCTCTTGTCACTCCAGTTATTTTATTCGTCTGTCAATGTTCGTCAAACGATATCAGTTACAGAATACTGCCATCAAAGGATTATTTTCATAAGTTTCATTTTTCCAAATCTGTCGGAATCTATTACAAATGTCGACTAGTAATCCGTAATAAAAAAGGAACACAAACAGAGATATCAATTCACAGCAGAGAGTAGACAAATAAAGTCGTGTTCAATGGTACGTGTATTCGTCCAATTTTTCGTGCTTATTCTCTGGAAAACAAAATATCACCCAGAAAAAAATCAATCTACGGCTTTGATTCTCGTTTTAGTTTATCTTTAACGTGTGCGTATTTTTTCTTTTTGAATACAATTGCCTCGTTACAGAGTTTCCCATAATTTCTGTCCCGCGCTATCGACGTATCGGAAATCCTGACTCGTGCACGCAAAAAAAAAAAAAAAAAATTGAAAATGATTGTTCGGAAATGTAACATTGTAGATTGTGCAAAAATATTGCCAGAGATTTTACAGTTACGTGGAAAAATTTGACTGCAGGTAGAATTAATGAAAAATCTTTCTTATTTTTTTGTAAATTTTCCATTGCATTCAGAGCTTTCATTCTATTCGGTTCAGAATACGTTACCGACCCCGACTGCGTCTTTCTCACTATGAACGAGTATTGTGCAGGCAACGGTGTTGTAAGCGTGTGTTGGCGAGGGTGTACGCGTGAAAACACCCTCGAGCTGCCTGCTTAGAAAAAGCGCTTGTCGTTGCTTTTATTTCCGCCGGTTTTATTTCGTGCTTTCTTACTTATTCTTCGGTATCGTCGGGTCTGTTGCTACGTGACACCTTTTTCTTCTCCTTTTTTGCATGGAGCTACGAAAGCAAGCCTTTCCACGGCAAAGCTCCTGGAAAGAATGAAATTCCTTCAACGTGGAGCGATTTAATGGACTAGCTCTCTGCATATCAACGAACACTTCGTTATTCGCGATACTCGGAAACGGGATTAACCCTTGGATAGTCGTTTCAACAAATGAAATTTGTTTCGTTCCGATTTCGAATACATTAAAAATATCCTCTGTTGAATACTGAGGATGTTGATAAGGCCACTTAGAAAGTTCGAACCGCGCCATTACCTCGGCGAACTTTGAATTATGCCATTACTTCATTATCTCTTGGCCCGTTTTCCGTTCGATGACAACGAGTTGAACGACGCCGGCGTCGACTTCTAATCCGTGCCAGGCCGGTCGTTACGGTGTCAACGTCAGAAACGCGAACCCCATGCTTCAGCCAGAGGATATATTCAGGCCGGACGCAGTTTGCGTGGTGCATTTTAATGAACTCACCTTCCCATCTTGTTTTCCAGCGGTGTGAGTCCCTACGGCAGAAGAGAGGCGCAGGCTCCCGCGGGGGGGCGCACGGGGAGGCGGTGTGGCGGACCGGAACCGGAAATGGCTGCGAGGTGGCTCCTGCTGGCGCTCCTCGCCGCCCACGCCGCGGCTCTTCCTGATATCATTAGGATAGGTGAGTATCTTTCCAGTCTCCCTTCTCGGGTTAAAAGACTTCTTCGCTTTCTTTTTCTCCCTGCTTTCCTCGCTTTTTTATCACGTTTCAACCGTTAACCTTTAACGCCAGATGACGTTGTGACGATGAAATTGTAATCGATACATATTTCCATGATATCGAGACCGTTTCGCCAGTGGGCGATTTAAGGTAACTATTATTGGAGACGGGGGATGATTAAAGCGGTGATCGTGTAATCCACCAAATCTGATGCGCGTTTTCATTAACCGTGATAATAGTTGAATATGATTCGAGTGAAATTAAGCTGATGCTGTTCGAATATAATTGAAATCTGTGAAATCGATTGATTATCGGATCAATTTTCTGTTGCATAATTTAACTATTTTCAGATCCTATTAGTTTCGATGTAGTTAATACTAGGGATTACCAACACTGAATGCTTATCTAGTTTCACCACATCTGTCAATTTAATAGATATTTCGAAAGGATAGTTAATAATGTATAAAAATTCGTTATACTGAAATCATGAATATCAGGGGCCTCGAAGCGTTAATTTTCTTTAAATTTGCATCATGTACTTAACTCATGATCGAAGCCTAATTACGAGACGCTGAAATCAAAGCTCGAACAGACAGGGTTCTCGTAACCACACGACGTTCCTCAAAATACCGCGTCTAATAGCGTAGGCGCTGAGCAAGTAGTAACAGTCGCGTATAGTCAGACAGGTAGCACAAAGCCAGGAACATCTGTTCTTGGAATCTGGAGAATGTATGTAATGTTATACGCGTAAACTTCGCGTTAAAGCGATACGTCAGGACAGTGTTATGGCTTGAACATACAATAGTAACTATTTGCAGCTTAATGTTATAGTCTGGTAACAACAATACCATACGAACGATTATCTACCTTCAGGTGTATTTATTCTGGTATCTGTATTGTCTTTAATGACACGCGTCGATATTTGAACAAAAACTGACGTCAATTCATTGAAAGTTGTTTTTCTCGTTTATCCAATAAACAATTTTTCACCCACCCGTGCGTCAACGATATCGAAAGTGGAACGAATGATCAGTTTTCAATAATTCTTCAGCGATTTCAACGGATACACTGTCGAAATTGAAGTTCTACGTCGTTTGCCAGTCTTGTTTCGTGCTGTTTGGTGTACAATTGACTGGAAATTTCTCGCGCTGGTAATTAAACGCGGCGTTTTGTGTACAACGTTAGCCGGATACACGTCCGACGTATCGAAGCGATATTAATTTACGGATTTTGTTCCGCTGTCGAGAGTCGTCGAGCACGAGAGGATAGCACGAAATAATTCATTAACAATCAATGAATATTCAGGCTCTATTAATTCTGCAAATGGCAAGAAGTTATCAAAAAAGTGATGGAAAGAGAGAGAGAGGGGAAATGTGCGATCTTCAGAGTCGATCGACCGACGAAATAGAGTTACGAGCACCACTCGCTCGCATACCCCACTTTTTTATACATCGATCGTTATTATCGTGCTTTTTATGTCCATATATAATCTCATCGTTTTGCAATTAAGCGAACAATATTTTCAAACGGATGAATTTTTAATTTATGCGATCAATTAGTTTATATATGCTTCTACTCAAATTTTATTTCCCTTTGGTAATTAAATTTTTACCTTGTAATTTGTTCAGTGTTTTAATTACAGTTGAATAATTAAAGGAAACAAAAATTACCAATAATTTTCGACACCATTGATATTTAATTAATTTTGCATGATAGAATTTGAGAAGTTTAAATTATAAAATGAGACAATGGTATTTTGTTTAATTGTAATTATAGCCAGGGGTATAACGAGGTCTCTTGTATATTACAGGCTCTAATTTTAATTAATTAGGCTTCGAATTCCTACCAGTCCATGTCCACCCCTAATTATAGCATATCTTATTTTACTTATCCATGGCTATCAGTGTCATAATTTCCTTGTGTGACTATCAATAATCCTATTCTACTTGCCCAGCTATCAACAACCGTTTCCATTCCACTTGTCTGACCATCGGCACCCCTACTCTACTTAGCCGACTCTAACAGTCCTTATACCACTTTTCTGACTAGTAACACTTCGTTCCACTCGTCTGATTTCTTTTTCTAATTGTCTACGACTATTTCCCTGCTCCATCCAAATAACACCGATCGTACTTGATTTGTCCCCGCATTTTACCTCTCCCTTAGCGAGATACATAAATCTATCGGGTGTAAGGTCTATAAATTGTTAAGCCAAGCTGGCGCAGCTGTTCGCCCGGTTACTTTATGACGCGAGCGAGATTAAAATCAATTTATGACGCCAATTCGTAGCGGCAGAGAATTCGAGAAGCACGGGATACGCTCGATACCCTCTCGAACGATCCAACTTCTTGGACGTTTACGTGGTCGAGCGAACGCGGTTCTTAGCTGTGGCTCGTCGGACGTTTCGCGTCGCGTGAATTATTCATCGGAAATTTTCTTTTTCCACGGGAACGTAAGTACCGTGTGTTATTAAATAACCCACGTTGCAACTTTCCTCCAGCCTCCGGATCCCTCAAACGAATCATAATTTCAAAGCGGCGTATCAGCGTGTTCTTAAATTCTTAACTTTTCCTCAACCATTTCATTGCGGCTACATAATAGTACTGAAAGTTTTAACTTCTCTGTTTTTTCTTTCTTGTCTATTTTTAAGGGAACGATATTCTCCCTCACATTCATTGCATATTAACAGTTCAATTCACTGCGTTTTTGGTGGAACATCTGGTTCAGAAAAAACAACTTAACGATCTACGTTAACAACTTATTGTTATTTGTCAGAGAGTCGTCGATCAAACGGTAACAATTGAGAAACTTTTGGTATATTGACCATTACAGTCTTTCGCTTCGGTTGTTCCTCAAAACGTGAATGGACAAACGATCGTCTAACAATTTAGAACATGTGCAATTGTTTCCTTGTTAGAAATAGGACAAAGAATATTTTATATTTGATGTCTCTGAGTTCTAATATTTTTTCAAAGCGAGGAAAGTAGAGGTGTGGTTAAAGAAATAAAAAAATAAGACGATGCGTGGTTTGACGACAAAATGTAAGGAATACTTGCCCGAGTCTCGTCAAAGTGGTTCTTTAATATGGATGTGTGATTTCCCAGGTGGGCTGTTTCATCCGTCGGACGACAAACAGGAAGTGGCCTTTCGTTATGCCGTAGAAAAGATCAACGCCAACCGAGACATCCTTCCCAAGTCTCGTCTCAGCGCCCAGATTGAGCAAATAAAGCCGCAGGATAGTTTTCACGCCTCCAAGCGTGGTGAGTGTTTCTTTCACGTTTGTTAATCTCGCAATTAAGCTTGTATGGTTCACCTGCTCTGCAACTTCGGTACGATTAAATTAGGTAAGCAGGCAGTGGCTGACCATTTCTATCATAATTTACTGCTTATTATATTTGAGGTAATTGCGGTTTTAAAATGGAGATTCTTTTTATAAGGAAATCAAAAGAAAATATATTTCTCGAATGTTAAGGTGTTTTGATCCAAGTTGCTCCATATTTAATGGCTTACTAACAGGGAACACTACGAATGTAATTCAACTTGCATAGAATTTTCTTCCTTGTATAGCAAATTCCCAGTTTCCAGAGATTTCGAGCCTCGCAGAAACTATTTTCAAAGTTCATGTCTCGCCTCGACAGGGAAAATAGACTTAGAGTTCCTTACCTACAGATTTCCTGTGTCAGTTTCCTCATTGTTTTACTTTCATCGATGTTGCGAGAAAACTTTAATACTGTTATTTCATGCGAGGTATTTTTAACACAAAAGGTGATTTAATATTTTTTTACATTTCGTTCCTTTTATTGTTCGATAAATAATTTTCTTTTGATTCATCGAAACTAAACATCATTAATGCCATCTGGCGGTATTAATTACCACGATACCGATCGGTCCGACACGACTCCAGCAAATGAAACGAATACAATTACATGATCAAATGGTTTAGGAATAGTTATCGCAGTGACAGGGGGAAACCCGTCGAAACGTGATGGGTCGAAATTATTAATCGGTTACAGGAACGCCGCGGCGCACGATAATTATTTTCGCCGGGCATCATCAGCGGTGAACTAATTATTGCATCAAGCTCCCAATTCATTAAGCCGAATTATTAGCGACAAACATATATGTTACCGTGGCCGCTGGCAAGCAACGAGTAAAACGACCGAATCACACCTATAGTTTGTAATTCCATGGATCGAAGCTTGGCGATGTTCCATGAATTCACCGCTAAAGACAATCTCATTGACAAATCTTCATTTAAAAAATGGAACAGGTACATCGGATGCGACCTGGGAAATTTTCCTAATTTATGAATGGGATTTCCTTCGTGTTGATTTAACCTGTAAAGGAGATTTTTATTCACTCAAAGTATTATTCTGAGTATGAATCATTTGCAAGCCTCCTCCAAAGTGAAAAGTTTAATACCCTTGTTAATAAAAATTTATTAATTATCCTTGGAGGATCATCGCGTATTATCCACCTTATTTTAGAGGAGTTGGTGATTCGCCTGTAAACTGCTCATAGAATTCGTCTGCGGATCCTCTCATCGACGATTTCATTCGGGCAATGAACCCTTTTTCGTTTCAACCAACAAGGATGGTCGTTCCAATGTTCTCCCTTTACTACGTTTTTACGATATGACGGAGAAACATGACCGAATGTCGGCGCCTTTGTTCGACCCGTACTTTTCTCTCGCGATTCTTGTAATTCACTTTTACGATCCTGGTTACCTTCACCCCTGGAATATCTTCTCGGCAAAATGCAGGGGTTGTCGAAGTGACACGCGTTACGAGAACACATGATTCGATTATTTGGCACCTGACTCGCGTGTAGTCGATCGTGATGCATAATGCAATATCCAAAAACTACGGACTGGAATATAGAAAAAGAAAGGAACTTATTGTTAGTTGAATGAATTAAAATTTTGTTTCATTCAACTGATTGTGCTTCTAATTTTCAAAGTAACTTTTTAACTTTCTTCTCAACCCATTCGCATAGTTGTTGAAGTTCGAGCAACGTATTGGGCCGTTGAAAAGTTGCGACGCTCAGGGCGATTTCGGTTAGCAGAGTTCCGGTCCTTTCCGCTGAAAATGTGTACCGTCCAATTAAGCATAATGGAAGGAAAACATCGTTCTCAAGCGCGGTCGTGCCGTAACGCAAGAACCCGCGAGGACGATAACCCGAATCTTCCAACTTTTACGCGATACCGTGTCCCGGAAAATGCTATCTCCTCCGCGAGACTGTTTCCCTTCGTTAACTTTCCGCAACAGAGCATTTTCTTCCTTCGTCTCGTTACGAGCTTTTTCGCGTTACCCCGGATCGATCATGAAAATTGATAGCCGCATATCGGATCGCATACGATGCACCGAATTTAATGAGCAGAAGAAACAGTCGAAAAATATGAAAATTATTTGCTTTCCGGGGGAATATCGCACGGATATAATTTCGCTGATCAGCTTTATCGAAACGATCACGGAATTAACCTGGTTTTCAGTGGAGTTTAATTAAAACATAACAAGCCAGGAACGCTTTTCTCGTTGCAAATCAAGGCGCGCGGTGTTTGCCGGGTCCATCGATGCTGGCTCGTGGTCTGAAAAGGAAATTAACTCTGGTAATTGAAAAAAGAAAGACAAAAACCGCGGGAAATGAAAACACGGAAAGTAATCGAAAGTGCAACGCGTATAACGCGTCCAAGTTGAAATAATCGTGGAACGGTGATTCGCGTTAATCGCGAAACGCGATCTTCGTAATCGTTCCAAAACGATAAATCGTTTCCGACGAAATCGGTCGCCGTGAAAGAATTATCGTTGGTCGACAAACGATAATCCGGATGTTTCGAGCGTGTACACGGCAGGGTGCGTGTAATTCCGGACGCGTACGAAATACCGGTTCCAACATTTACTCCGTCGTTTATACTATTCTCCATTAACAGGTCGTCGATTTGTGGGCGACGATTAAACGTGGCCACGACCAATCCCGTGAGTAATTACACGGCGGCCAGGTGGCACACGCCGTACTCATTAGCAACCGTGCAAACAGCATGAACATCGACGACGATTACGTTTCGATCGCGACCATTCGTTTTCCACTGCTTTTTCATTTATTCCTCGAGAGAACTTGACGACTGCCAGCTGTAAGATAATGGGGAGGAATTGAAGGGTTAAAGGATTACTCTGAGGTGTGAAAAGGGTATCTTGTTAGGTCGGGTGTTTGATTTTAAATACTAATGAGGATTATTTATATAATTGACTGGAATATTCAAATTAGCATATTTTGTATTTTTCTTTCAAACATTTTAATTCGAAACTATTAGGTTTTTAGTCGATTTTCCGGAAAATTTTCTTTTCTGCCCTTGTGATCTAACTCTAAGAATTATCAAATGGATCTATAATGATTTTCTGAAAGTGACCCATCTTTTATTAACTCCCAATAACTTATAGATATCCTCAAGTTCTTTTCTTCTTTAGTTCACCATAACCCAAAGTACCTGCGTTTCATTTATTTAAACCATGACGATCGAGTCTTGCTATCGAGATTCTCGTTGCCTTCGATAGGAGATAGGGAACAGAGGGCAGAAAAGTAGCGATGCGAAGGTTCCCCATGAATAATGTAAACGCTTTTCACGATGGCGAAACGGTTTTTATTCCCTTGGACACTAGCCGGATATCTCGGTGTACTCGATGCTAGGTGAAAGAAAGAAAAAAAGTACAAGTTAAGAGAAAGGTAGAGAGGTCTCTCTAAGGGGTAGAAGGTGAGCGTAACAGGAAGTCTGCTGTTGCCGGAAATTGTCTGAAGCGCTTTCAGCCGCAGCCACACGGGATAACCGTGCATCCGGCGGAGATTCGATTTTCTCACAGAACAAAGTCAGGGACTAGCTACCTCTGAATACGCTACTATTATGTTAGATGATTGTGAGCACGGTTAATAAGCAAACTTTGAACAGAATACTTAGCCCCGAGTCGCGAAGAACTTCCTGGACGTCGTTTTAACGAGTTACCGCCTTATGCAACGTGCGAAATTCTGTTAAAAAATTTTATGGAAATCTTATCACTTGATAAGACGAGGCAGAGGAACTGAGATTCTACGATTATATTTAATGTCATTTAATTTGTTATTCATTTCTGTTTATGAAAATCTCAGTATGAACTATAATTAATTTAACCCTTCTTTGGATAACGAGGTCACTGTGACCTAAATTCTCTTTTTATATCTCTTTGCAGTATCCTTCACATATAAAAATTAAATTTTTCTTTCTTTTCAAGTCCTATTGAAAGCTGTAGCCAATTTATTTTCTCCCTTACCTGTCTAAATTGTAAAAGAGGACAAATTAAATTAACGTTGAAACGAGAATTTGTTAGAAAAGAAAGGTGCTTTTAATTTGTAAATATCGTAACGAAGCAAAGTGATGCGTGGAGTGTCGGAAAGTGTAAGTTATTCGATTAATCGTCACGCACACGGGTTCTTATTAAAATGTCACCGCGAACACGACAGGCTGACTTTTAGTTCAGATGCACCGGGGAAAGCGAGGTTCTTAGCCAGCGTAACTCGCTTTTCATGCGATTACGTGACGTGTGAAAGCGGGTTACAGTTACGTGCCACGGTAATTACAGTTTTGAGCTTTTCAATTACACCGTCGACGCGACCCACGCGAAAACGTCGCGGCGCCGTACCGTGCAATTCAAGAAATAATTAAACGGCTGCTTTTCTTGTAATCCGGAAATCGTTCTTACACCGCACACATTCTCAATTACTGGGAATCGTGCCGCGTTCGAGTTCTTGTTACCGAGTTCATTTTCCGTCTGTCATAAATTATAAATTTATTTTCGCCACCTTTCAAATAAATGAAACAATAACTTGCGCGTATTTTCAATATTAGGTCAAGTTCTAAAATTCTCGCGAATATTGAATTTCATAAAGAAGCCGTCATTTTTATGACAAGCGACTACACGGCAGATTGGCGCGGAAGGTAACACCATTTTCCGACAATTTCAAATCGAATTTTTGACGTTTAAATATTTGTACGATCCTCATAGCGGTGATTCGATGAATTGCATTTTCCGTCCTGTGTATGGTACGGCAAAAACGTTATCGGCGATGCGCTTCCGGAAAAACGGTTTATAGCTGCACACGCGTCGATTCTCAGTCGACGCGATTTCGCGCTGGGATAAATTCGAATTGAGTTCAGCTAGAGGACTCGTGTGTACGGTAACACGTGCCTAGAAAGTGGAGAGGAAGATGAGAAAAGGAAAGGGATGTCCCTTGA